TCTGCCGTTGGTCTCAAGCTTGTACCAGTAGATGGGGTAAAAGGAGGCGGAGGTGGAGGTGGAGGCGGAGGCGCAGGCAATAACTTGGAAAAACTAGCACTCTGAGAAGATGGTGGTGGTGGGGATAGGGGTGGAGGTGGAGGTTGTGGAAATGATCTTGAAGGCAAGAAAGTAGCACTACTTGCGGATGAGAATAAGGGTGGTGGAGGAGGCGGAGGTGGAACTGGAGGAGTTGCGGATGAAAGGCAGTTTACTTCTTCATCCAGAAGAATAGTTGTAGGTAGCGAAGGTTTGTATATCAAAGCAGGAGGAGGAGGAGGAGGAGGAGGAGGAGGTGGTGGTGGTGGCGGCGGCGGCGGCGTAGCTGAAGGTGGTGAAGGTGCTGAACTAAGTTCCTGGGCTTCACATTCCACCTGGGTTACCAAAGGCAAAGTCGGGGAAGAAGCTTCTTGAGCTGGTGACAGATCTAATGATGATGGATAAGATACATACTTTTGACGGCCCGATGCAGAAGTTTCTGAAGAGGAAGCAACAGATTGAGACTTAGATTTTCCTCTAGGTGGGGAATCTTTGCCAACGGCTAATGCTGCTGGAGCACTGTTATATCTCGATGGAGTAGCCGTTGGAGGATAGTAAACATGCATCGAATTAGAGTAAGAACCTTTGTTAGTAGGTATCCACTTAGATGAAGCATTTGGCTTTGCTAGTCTTGCTACAGGAGGCTGTAACTCTTGTGGCTTAGATTTTGAACTGGAATTTAGCTGCTTTTTCGAGACAGTTGAGAGCCCTTTATCTAACTTCTGCTTATTATTATTATTATCAGCGGTTGACTTCAGTTGTTGGCCCTGCTTCTCAGTACTCTTCATTACAGGAGGAACTTCTTCATTTTGCTTATTGTCTCCTTCTTCAAGCTTATCCAACATACCAGCATCAACAGATTTAATTTCAGCATTATTATTATTTAGGGGCACTCTGCGGTCATGTTTGGGGATTTCCTCGTCTGGTGCACAGTCTTCAAATGCATGATGATCCGAATCATCCTTCAAGGCTGCTACTACTTCATGGTGATTTCCATTGTCCTGAGAAATAGATCGAACTGTATTGTCATCAGAATCCACCTTGCTATCGTGCCCATCAACTGCACTGAAGATCTCTTCTGCCTCAAAAAATTCCTCAGCTGAGGCACTTTCTGTTTCATTTCCATCTTCACTTACTTCTTCTTCTGCTGTGATAACAGATGAAACAGAATTTGCATCTGAAAAGAGCGCCTGATACAGCAAAAAAATACTTTTTAAAGAGCTGAAAGTTTCACAAAAACTAAGAAACATAGCACAGGGAACACAAAATCTTACCTCTGCTTTGAAATCCCTCGAAAATTGGTCTTTGGCATCCCAAAGAATATCAACTTCATCGCGGTTCAGCACCAAGACATTTGAACGGACAAAGGCCGTATGAAACATAACTCTAAAAATCATCTCTTCCCTCAGAAAATCATCCTCCAAATGGATGCACTCAAGAACAATATCTCCTTGAACACGGCAATGTATATCAATTTTCACTAGTTCACACTCTTCCTGCATACACCACAGATCAATAACACCACCATAAAATTGTTTTCATATGAAATTTCAAACGATTTGTTGTAGCATTACCTGTTGATAGAAACGGATACGCTTTTTCACTTTCGAAGTCGAAAACAAAAGCTTAGAACTTCTGCTGGATGTTTTCGAAGAAGGATCCTGACCATACACCCGAATTACTGGTCGACATCCTCTTCCACCGTCATATAAAGGAAGGGTCCTAAGTATAATACAGTCCAAAGCCAGAGGTGTATCTGAGGGTGGCCAATCCGAACCAATGTTTCTTCTAGCTATGTACTGAAGATATCTGAGCTGAGATGGTTGAGGATTCAAAGGAGATAGAATATGAAGAAGCTCCCTCGATGCCTGCTTGTATACCATTTCAAGAGTCTTCTGTTCACCATTGTACTGTTTCCTGTACAGAAGAAGTCCAGCGAGCATAAAGGCAAGCACGGGCCAACCTCCCCTTTCGCAGTGCATTAAAAGCACGTTTTGTTGTCCTTCGAGCGATAACCAGCTCTCACTCGATCGTAAAAAGTGGTGGATCATTTCTAAAGGTAACAGTGGACACCCTTCGTACTGACGAGGGTAATCCATTACCGTCATGTCGTACTGAGATAACGCATCGGATAATTGGCTCCTCCTTTCTCCTTCTTTGAAATTGAAAACCATAAAAGCAGCTTCCGGGTAGTGTTCTTGTAGCTGTGCGACAATCCCGTTCATATATGTTCGATACTCGTTCTCGTCGAGTACATCGGTGGAGAAGCAGCAATCAAACACTAGATATAGAAGCAGAAATCAAATTAAATCAAATGACATCATAGTGCAACAAGCAATCTGAAAATTACATCTTTTGAACAATATGAGATTTTTTTTGAAAACTAAACTAGCAATGCGTAAATAAATACCTCGTTAATCTTATTAAATTTTATTTGCAGCGCAAACAAAGAAAATATTGGGAGGAATCAGAAAATGAGCATTTATACGGCAAACCCAAGAAACCTGGATGCCATTCTGGTATCGCAACTATATTCCACCGTACTCGAGGGAGAAAAAAACAGTAAGTCGATGAAATGTCATCAAGCGATGTAATCCAACAGTTTCAGGCAGCTAAATAATCCAACACTACATTTTGAACCTCATGACACCGTAATTTCACGTTAATATATAAATTCAGCTTCAATGATAACAAAGTTTAAGAACGGCAAAACAATTGCTAAACTCTACAGCATCCAGCAGCTCTTTTCACTTGTGGAAACTAAAATTATAAACGGATTTCCAGTCTTTCTATAAATTGTTCACAAAATGCCTCCAAATATCCGCGAATCAGTTAAAGACCTAGCCCGAATTCAAGCAAAGTTGAGCTCGAAGTTCACACAATTTGGGGATAGTTAACCCCGAAAACTGCCGGGGGTTCGATTAAAACTCCAATGCAAGTCGAATTTAGAGAGTAAAGACTCTACAATTCAGATACTACCAATACTGAAGAATTAAAGCTGTAATTGAACAAGAACAGTAGCTGAAAAAAAAAGGCGTACCGTAGACCCTCTCAGAGATCTCGAGCAACCGATCCGGCGGCTTCCGGTAGAAGAATCTTCTAAACAGCGCCATCTAATGGCGCTGTTTTCCCCCCTGATCGGGCACCAAAACCCCCCCTTTCGACAATTCAATTTTGCCAAAACCTCACCTGAATTTGACCCAATCAGCTAACAGATCTTCACAGCTCGCTCGGTAATCTCCGCCACAATGCAACCGTATCAAGTCAACCAACACAGATCAAAACACCGCGAGCAATCGGAAACCCCAGCTGGAGAGGGTTTGACCTCACCGCAATCCAACAGTATATTAAAAAAAAAAAAAAAAAAAAAAAGCTGAGAAAAATCACTGGACAAAATCAAAGAGGCACTGACAGTAAACAATCAGTCAATTGCGAGTTTCTAGGGTTTACAAAATGGCGGAATGAGAAGAGAAATGATAGTCGGTTGTTGATAATATGCGTTCAATTTTGGGTTTTTGGACCGTTTGCCATTGCAAAAAGGTAAAATTGATCACATGAGAGAGAGAGAGAGAAGAGAGAGAAAGGAAACGTAGTGGACTAAAGGAAGATGAGCAGACAAAGTCCGACCCGGATATACAGTAAAATATGACCCGGGCTTTGATTTTGTCTTTTTTTTTCTTTTTTTTTTTTTATCGGTTTTGTTTGTTGTTTTGTTTTTTCAAACTCATGTGTGTTGGATTGATGGGTGGTTGGATGTGGATGTCACGTGGCCATATCTTGACAACGATTAACTGACATTATTCTTGTGTCTAGTAGTAGTTAGTATATTGGCCGTGTTACTACTATCTTTGACAATACAAAACTTTAATGGGAGATGATAAATCCGGGTTTCATTTTTACGAATATCGTTTTAATGTTTAGAAACCTTCCATTTCTAAGTTTACAAAACCAAATTCGTGTATTGTACTGAAATCGACTACAATGACTGCAGTCCACTATAGTTATTTATAGTCATCTTCTTTCTTTTTAGTGTTTACCTCAAGTTATGATCAAACGGTTGTATACACATATGTATACACACATGAATATAGTCGATTATGTACAAAAAAAAAAAAAAAAAAAAACTTTATCCACTCCAACAACAAAATTCATAATTTAAATCTTTATATTATAAATCAACTTGTAACCAACAAATATAGGTCGAAAAACACGATCATCATCATTGATATAAATTAGAAAACTCACATAACTTATATATGACTTATACATAATTATATGTTACTATATATTATGACTATACGAGTATATTCATCTGTACTGTGTAATCTACAGTCGACTATTGCTTGCAATAAAGACGTTAAATTCGTCTACCATTTCAACAAGATCTTTGGCACCTTCAAGGAGATGATCCATAGCTTTCATTAAGCTGGCTTGAAATACATAAGTCAAATTCTTCTACATCTTCAACCAGATATTGGGCGCCTGCAAGGAGAAGATCAATAGTTTCCATAAAACTGCAATTGTAAAATTAGACAAAACTATGTTTTTAGTTTTGTTATTTGGGAAGACAAGACTAGTAACATTAGATATAATGTTTTATTCCAATTAAATATTAGTGTAACCTATCAAAGATTGACAAAGCTTCGAAATACTCAAAATGAATGAAATTTGAGAGAAATAATAGCTTTCCATCAAACCACGAAGGACTCCTCAGCCTAATTGTCTCCTTCCAAAATCCTATCCGCACCAATCGCCCAAGGTTCAGTGTGCTCAAGGCGAAAACGTCACAAAAACAATTAGATATAAAAATTGAATGAAATTACCATCAAAAGATATATATCAAGAATCCAACTGTTGGTCCGACCGTCAAAAAATAAGCTATATACCCCTCTGAGAAGACCCATCATCGTCGAAATACGTGTGCACGGTAAATCAATTTTAGAAACATATGCAAATCTCGATGAGAGGAATCCGACGGTGGTTAAATCATCAAATTTCGACCGCGAAAAAGAAAGTTATGACTCCAAGAAGCACCATCGTCGGTCGAAAACTTATGGGGCAAAAATTTAGATTTGAGAGTGGAAGAGAAAGAGAGAGCTGGTTGTGGGTTGACTATGGTTTAAAACTGATTTTGTAAAGATAGTTTAGGTACTTTAAGTTGTATGTCAAATTTCAAAACTAAAAGATATTTAGGGGGCAAGAAAACGACTGTGATTCTGCTCTATCTCTACAATATTGTTGTGTTGATTTTGTGCTTTTTCATACCCCGCATGTACAAGGGTCCGTGAAGGACACTAAGCTTGGAGCGATGAATAAGAAATAACTTCCGCGCAAGAGGTTTAGTGAGAGAGTACGCATGTTGGTATGTTGTGTGAACATGGGAGATCCGAAGTTTTTTTTGAGAAACTTGATCCCTTAGAAAATGAAAAATCAATAGCGACGTTCTTCATGTGTGAGCGGAAGACCGGATTGGAGCATAGTAAATAGCTCCAATGTTGTCACAATAAATTGTTGTAGAAGCTTTCAAGGAGAGAGATAGTTTCCGAAGTAAATTGGTGAGCCAATTTAATTCAGTGGTGGCAACAACAATGGCGCGGTATTCAGCTTCGGTCAAGGGTCGGGCAATGGTCGATTATTTTTTGGAGCTCCAACTAACGGGATTGGAGCCAAGGAAAACAACATAGGCTGATGTAAAGTGGCTTGTATCGGCATTACCAACCCAATCCGCATCGGCAAAGGCATGAAGTGCAAGAGAAGAGTGGACATAAATGAAAGCACCATAATGTGACGTACCCATTAGGTATTGAAGAACCCATTTTAAAAGCAAGCCAATGGTTGGCAGTTGGTCGATGGATGAATTGAGCTAACTTATTGACTGCATAACTGACATCTGTCCTAATAAGAGAGAGATATTGAAGCGAGCCAAGCACTTGACGATACTCTTTTGGATCATGGCTGGAAGAATCGTCATCAAACTTGAGTGTCTCATAAGGAGACAATGGAGTATTGAGTTCTTTTGACTCATGCATATTAATGCGTTGAAGAAGATCACAAATATATTTTTGCTATGATAAGAAAATTCCCGCGGTTGTTCTTGATCTTTCGACTCCTAAGGAATAACCGAGTCTGCCGAGATTCTTAAGAGAAAACCGATTGAAGAGTTGTGTACTAAATGTAGAAATGGTAGGTGCCAGGGAGAACTATATCATCCACACATGTAAGCAAGCACATGATGCGAGTTCCCATAATATATATAAAAATAGAAGTGTCACTTTTGGAGTTTGTGATACCATAATCAAGAAGGAATGAGCGAAGCTCATTATACATGCTCGGGGAGCTTGACGGATACCATGTATGCCTTTATGTAATTGCATACATGTGATGGATATTTAGAGTCCACAAAGACTTGAGGTTGTTTCATAAAAACATATTCAGAAAGAATGCCCTGCAAGAAGGCACTGTTAACAACCATTTGATTAATCCATCCGCGAGTTACTGCATTAGTAAGTACAAGGCGAATAGTAGTTGGATTGACAACTTGATTAAAGTTTTCAATAAAGTCGATATGAGGTCGTTAATGAAATCCCTTAGCTATAAGACATGATTTATAGCGAGCAATAGAACTGTCCGGATTCCTTTTAATCCTATATACCCATTTACATCCAACAAGGTTTTGTGTGGGGAAGAATGGTACAGGGTCCATGTACTTTTTATAGTTTGCACTCCTTACTATCAAAATCTACAAATACCCCCTGTCGTTAGCACTGACTGTTGACTCCATTTGTCAGACGCGTTGACCGACTGTTTCATAGAGCCGTTGGCTTTTTTCTGACGAAAATACCCCCATTTTTTTTCTGGCTCCATTTATCAGACGCGTTGATCGACTGTTTCATAAATGTTGCATACTCTTTCCCATTGTTTCTCACCAAAATTTTCACATTTTCAACTTGTTTTTTCTCCTTTTTTTCCTTTTTTTCTCGTTTATTCTCCTGTTTTCTTTTCTCCTCGTTTTTTCTCTTTTTTTTTTATCTGTTTTCTTGTTTTTATCCTGTTTTATTTTCTCCTCGTTTTTCTCTTTTTTCCTTTTTTGTCTCGTTTTTTCTCCTATTTTCTTTTTTCCTTCAATTTTGCATTTTATTCAACTTCAATTCCTATTTTTTTCCAGCTTCGTTTCCTTTATCTTTTTTTCATACTAAAATATCTTCTAATGGTTCAAATTCTCAACAATCGTGTCTTAGATCCAAACATTATATTGTTAGAGTAGGTGACCAACAAGCCAACTTGTGGTTGTGGTCTTTCATTTATTCTTGTAATAAATAATCATTTTTCGTATTAATGATAAAACATCTTTTGACATTCTATATCTTTTTCTCTTGCATAAGCATAGATATAGTCATTACAGATATTATAATTATTTATATTTGATCTATTAGGATCATGAGATATTTACTTAAGTATTATAACTGTTAAACCACGTTCCTAGTCGAAGGGTTACGCCACCAATGAGGATATCGGCCTTTCCCATTAAGAGACTAGCACTTAGTGTATGTGTATTACATCTCATCAGTAAACATAATTGTGATATCGGCATACATAAGTGGGTGCTCGTAAGTTGACGAGTTCAATGAACTCCCTTATCCTAGAAATCTCTAAGTGGTTCTCAATAATCCATTAGAGATCTCTATGATATAGTTGTACACCATTAGTCCTTAAAACCTAAACATCATTGATAAGTGTTCATTTTGCATGATTTTCACTTATCAATTCTTCAAGTTTTGGTCTTCGTTCGTACGAGTTTTCGGCTTTATTTGTATATATTATACGTTCCTTGTTTTATTTCTATTTTTAGGTTTTGTTATCTATTTTTGCCGATATGAAACGATTTGAATGCGAAGCCGAGAACCAAACCAAACATGTGTAAAATTGCATTCAAGTGAACTACGGTAGCGTTCAGTATTTCATGCATAACTTCTTCATACGACCTTCGTTTGAGCTGATTCAAGTGGATTTAGAAAGCCAACTTCAAGGTCTAATGAAATGCAAAATTGTCAAATTCAGGCTTAAAAAGGGTCAAAACAGAGTTTGAAGTTATTGCAGTGACCATATCGCGATATTACCTTCCGTATCGCGATATGGAAGAAAACGAAACATAGAGATTGGGTTTTTGCCATATCGCGCGATATGACTCCTTGTATCGCGATATGGGGAGAAACGAAACAGAGAGCTTGCAATTTCACCATATCGACCGATAATGTCCCCCATATCGCGATATGGCCTCGGGATGTGTAAAAAATATCTAAAAAGGCAAAGCTTACTATAAATAGAACAAGCCTCACTCTTCAAAAAAGGTTGGACTTCTTCTTCGACTTCTTCTTCGACTTCTTCTTCGAATTCTTCTTCAGTTCTCGCCAATTCTTCGCGGGAAGCTTCGACGAGGGTTTCGACTCGGGTTTTTCATAAGCTTTTTCTTTACGTTTAGTTTATAATTTCTCGTGTTCTTCATTTGGATGCTATGTTTGTAATGAACTAAGCATTTTCTTTTAGGGGAAATGAAACCTTATATATATATTGATTTTTATTTCTAGATATGTGATCTATTTGTCGTTCTTTGATTCTGTTTATGTTTTCCTGTATTAAATGCTTTCGATTGTTTGGCCAACAGTTGAATTGATTATAAATG